GGCAGCGGCCTGGGGCAGCCGGGAAACAGGGCCCTCACCCGGCGCCACAGTCTCAAAAGATGCATTTGGTAATTTTCATGAAACTGCCCCAAACCCAATAAAACCAGCTGCGTGGGCACAAGACGGACAAGGCCCAGCTCAGTTCATCGACTGGGCGTTTTCATCACTATTTAGACACAGGCATTCGGACCAAGGAGCCCGGCCACGTGGCTCAGGGGCTGAGCATCGACCCATGAACCAGGAGGTCAAGGTTCGGTTCCCAGTCAGGGCACAGGCCCGGGTTGTAGGCTTGATCCTCAGTGTGGGGCGTGCAGGAGGCAGCCGACGGATGATTCTCTCTCATCATGGATGTTTGTATCTCTCTCTCCCTCCCTTCTTCTATAAACACAAACACACACACACACACACACACACACACACACCAGGAGAAGGGAGGAGAAAGCCGGGTGCTAGCGATGGCCAGCACCCAGCAGCGGGCTAGCATGGCCCAGCTGGAGGCGTGTGCTCACCCCACAGCGTGTAGACCCGCGGTCACCAGCTGGTGGTCCGTGAGGTGGGAAGGCTGGCGACCGCGGGTCTAGAATGTGCCGGGGGCCCGGTGAACTGTCTCCCTCGGGGTGAGACCCCCTCAACGTCCCATTTCCTCAGGCAAAGCCCCTGGAAACGTGCAGACCAGCACCTGTCACGGGCCGGGACCTGCTCCCTGACTCCCGCCAGGTGCACGCTGGAGGCCGAGGGCCCCGACGCAGGGAACGGCCTCATGGGGTGAAAACACAGCAAGAAGCTGGGAAATAGGCCTGGAGCGGGGAGGCTCTCATTCCCACCCCACGTGCCAGGCAGTTCACAGCTGAGGCTGCTGCAGCCCAGAGAGGGCGAGCGTCTTCCTCGAGGGCACACAGCAGTCAAAGGGCAGAGCTAAAAAGGGAACCCGGGGCTGCCCGCAGCCTGTGCCTCCTTCACCTGTGACCTCTGGGTGAGCGGCCCCTCGCCCTCTGGCTGTTCGCTCTGAAGGGTTTCACCCTCTCCCCACTCTCCCCTCTCCACCCCCAGGGGACAGGGGTCCTGGCCTTGCACCAGTGGCTCTGGGCGGCTGCTCTCTCTCTCCCGCGGTCCCTCCCAGCTGATAACCGTGGCAGAGTCCGGCCGCCTGGGGGCGAGGGCCTTGCGTGGAGAACGCGTCTCCCCTGCGTCTGGGGCTCAGCGTGTAAGTGCCTTTATTCTCCCGTGTCCGGCTTCCGCCGCCTGCCTCCCCGGAAGACTGTGTTTTACCTCGAAAAGAAACTGACTCGGGGTCTGCAAACGGCGGGCTTCCTGCACTCGCTCCCGGAGACATGGCTCTGTCCGTCCCGCCTGGTCCAAGGCCCTGATGCCGCCCCACTTCCGGGTGATCACGTGGCCCCAACTCCTGTTTACCTGCCCACTTACGGGTGATCATGGTGCCCGCCCCCTTGTCCCATGCCCAATTCCAGGTGATCACGTGTGCCCGCCCCCTTGTCACGTGCCCAATTCCAGGTGATCACGTGGCCCCGCCCCTTGTCACGTGCCCAATTCCAGGTGATCGCGTGGCCCCGCCCCCTTGTTCACGTGGCTCTGTCCGGTGCCGCCTGGTCCAAGTCCCTGATGCCGCCCCCCTCGTGGCAGCATCTCTCACCCCCTGGAGCCCCCATTCGGTGCACAGCACCCTCCGCGCCCCCCCTCCCCCCTGCAGCTCCAGGAACCTGCTGAGCCCGGGCCTCAGCCTGTCACTGGTCCCCCAGGGCCTTCCTGCAGCCTCAGGGTCCTCAAGCCAGTCTGGGAGGGGCCGGTGGGTTGACCCCTTAGACAGAGGGGTGCAGACACCAGCTGGGCACTCTGCCCGCACCCCCCCACCCCCCACTCCCCGGAAACGCCATGAGCACCGAGTCTGCTGG